ATAGGCTCTATAAAATCTAGGGGTCATGGTATGGCATAACACGTTTTATGAGATGGTCCTTGAGGGTGTCTGAGGGTGATTTATAGAGAACTGGGTGCTTGATATGTACAGTCATTGATTTTTGAACACGTGCGTGGATGGCTCAGTTCCAAGTGCCTACAAATGTGTAACCAGAAGCATAGCTAGCTGTGAAGCCGGAGATTGGGAATGTAGATGCTAGAATGTTGAGCGTATATTCAGTGTCACTGAGTCAAGTTTTGGAAGTCTGGTCTAGTGAAAATATAGGATTTCAGCTGTGGTGGGGTCACACCAAGTTATGTTCCTTTGCTGGTGGGCTTCACCATTTTATAGCTATAAAATCTGTGGCAGGACCCCCTACCCGGGATTGACACGGGGATGCAATTTTCGTGCACCATTCCAAATCTGCATGCGTCTATGATCAGGACATGCCGATGATGGCAATGGATGACAATTCAGGTCCAGTCTACACGAGCCCTTGGGGTGCGCCTGGCAAAGATTATCATGTTGTGGACATTAAGTGATACAATGCGGTAGAAGAGGACCGTGATGGAGGCAGGTACTGCTAGGTGTCCAATTGGGGGAATTTTGAAGACATGGTGGCTGAAGGGTAATCCTGGTTTTGAGGGGCCAGAAGCTGATCTTGATGTGGGATTCTGGATGCGTTTGATGCGTTTGGGTCACGCCAGAAGCGATGGGCGGCAATCAGCCTGCAATGGAAGCCAAGGAGCTAGAATTGGAGTTCATGGCATTTGCTGACACAATTCATCAGCTCATTCTGCAGTCATTCTCAGTTCACATGCACTGTCCGGCAGTTCATCATGCTGCAACACACGTCTTACGGTCCCATATTTCCCCATCTCAGAGGACTTCTTGCCCGAGACGGCCTGTGAGATGGGCATGTGTGATACGGCCCTGCCAGGTTGCCGTCAGGCGCCAGTCGGACTGGGCCAGTCGGACTGGGTCGGACTGGGTCGAGTCCAAGAGTCATCCAGGTGTACCACGGCCACCGCGCTGTCCGCATCTGTGTTGAAATGACTTGAACTGAAAGGACTGTGGGTCTTTCAACCGAAAAAACACCTTGAGCTGGGTCACAGGGTCACCTGTGGGGCTGGTTTTCACATCCCCAAATGATTTTAAGAAGGACCTTGTTGGAAGGATTGTTTTGGTCAACAGAGAAAACCTGTCATGTCAGCCCACGAAATGCCAGAGTCAGCCTGAAACTGCGGCAGATTTTGGTTGTCATGCGCTCCAGGCTTCCTTCAAGCAATTGTACTTCCCGAGACTTGTTTTCAACTTTAGCAGGCCAGTCTCTCATTCTGATGTTCTGAGTTTCTTACTTCCCTTGGGATATCCTCCGGCACGTGACCAACAGGCCCTATTTCTATAACCACAACGAGACCAACAGCACGTGGCAAGCTAAGAGACTCCAATCCCAAAGACCATGGGCGCGACAGGCACCTGGCCTAGACTGTTTTCACCTGGTGCCGGTTGTTTATCAGCCACTCTCAAGGACTCAGAAGCTCATCCAAGAGGCGATGGCATGGGCCTTCTCGGCCATGCCTGAGGCGGGGTTTGGATGAGTTTGGAGCGGCGCAGAGCAGCACGGAGCAGCGTGGGGTCTGGGTATGAACATGGGTGGCAGCATAGAGCCCATGTTGGAGACACCTGGCAGCATAGAGCCAACACAGAAACCAAGTCACCACCACAGCAAGTCACACCTGGACCCCTGAATGAAGCCGTTGCTTTGGAACCATCCATGACGTCCGCAGGCCATCCAAGTGGTTCTGCAGGAGTTGGAGCAACGAGAAAAGGACCCGAACGACCTCCACGCGGTTCTGCGACCATCGTACGTCCCTTCGGAAGCCACTCCTGTTTCTGTCTGTGTGAGCTGTGGCTTGTGACACAAGCCGAACGAACTGGAGGAGCTCCAACAGCAGGCGGGGGGAGAGCGGCTGAACCCCACACGCCCTTTTTCTAGCTACGTTGAGAAAACAACGCATCCGCCCTGGGTTCCGTGCCTCGCGCTGAAACGCATCGCCGAAACGCATTCGCGCCTGAGACGGCCGTGCCGAACTACGGCTTTGGCGCGTACTCGCAGCCGAATCAGAACCAGTTTGGCTTTAACAACGGCCAGATGCCAAGGGGGTTGCAGGGTCTTTTCTTGTTGGGGTCTCAAGATGCGATCCAACCGCGAAGGGATTTGTTTGACCCCATTTGTTTGATTCCCATTGATTCCTACAATTTTGCAAGTGCCCCTTATTGTTTCAGACACAGACATTTTACTTTGCATCCAAGAAACTTTGCTTGAGGTCAGCAGCAGAACAACTGGTTCAACAGCCCTCAGGCGACTGGCAACACGCAGCAGGCAACTGGGTCAAACGCTTGGAAAGACAAGGCAATCGTTTTTTCGAAGAAAACAGACACTGTATTTACTGTAATTTACTGTATAATCTGTACATATATTATAACTGTGTCAAACGTTTTGCTCAAAGCGCATGGTCGTTATTGTTTTTGTGATGTTAGTGACTTCCAACAGAGTCATCTCAGAGCCCACATTCAAAGACCTTTGTGCTTTTGATTGGCTTTGAGTCATTTGCTAGCTGCTAGCGATTTTCAGATACGAGGATGCGAACAAACAGCGATTTCAGCACTCGTTTTCGCAGATGCCACAAGCCTTTGGCAAATGGTGGAACACCCAAAGAAGGCCTGATATGTTCGGTTTGGTCATGACTATATAGCTGTTTTATATATCCATGATGATCCATGCAGTGTTCGTCAGAGCTGGAGGTTGACAGCCAAGAGGATGGGTGTGGATGGGGCACTGGACTTGGCTAGCTGGCTGCATGTGCTTGAAGATCCCAAAACGTTGCTCTGTCTCAAGGAAGGACGCCCTGTTGAGATGCCAAGCAAGCTGATGTCGCATCAGGCTGTAACTGTATCGGATGAGCCATCGGCTGAAGCATTGTTTTTGTTCTTTTTCTTTGCTTGGCAGGCGGAGGTTCAGTTCCGGAATGGGCTGCCATACCGAGTGGATCATGTCCTCTTGAAGAAAATGATTAAGTCAGGCCAGGCGACGGACGCGATTGGGTCTCAACAGGTAGTTTGGATTGGCTGGGCTGGTTGCTCGTTCATGCTTGTTCCGTCCTTTTGATACAAAGCCAACTGACTGTGGATTTCCTTCATCTCATCATTTTCTCCGTTTTCTCTCACTTGCTGGATGAGGCATGATTCCGGTGGATGACGGTCACAGCAAGAAGCTTGGAAAGCTGAATATCATTGGGTCCAGGACTCAAGACTTTTTCGATGGCATGCCATTGGAGTTTTGCAGGAGGTAGATTCATGTTAAACAAATCCGAGTCAGAGTAATGTATATATATATAAACATATCGTTTATAAAGTACTTATATAATATATAGACTCTTGACTCTTGCTTAATGAGACCTCCCATATGAAAAGGCTATACATTCCAAATGGCGGGGTTTTATTAATCAAGAGTCTACCTTAAGACTTCTCTCCTTTTCCCCAATCCTCAATTCTATGCTCAGGTTCTACTTCGAGGATCTTGGAGCAATTCAAGTCCCAGAATCCGATGTTCACGCGCGAGCAGGACCGTGTGGTGGGATCTTTAATTTCCACAATAGAGTCCGGCCCAAGAAACCTTTAGTTCAATGGGGGATTAGTTCCTTGATGATCCTTGATGGGGATTTAGGAGGGACCTTCAGGTGGTCAGGTGGTACCTTGTCGAATATTGCGTTGCATTCCGCTGTCAGGATGGGCTGGATGGGTCACTGCGTTAGCAGCACTCTGCTTGGGTGTGACCACGTCAGCGTGGCTTGCTCTGACTTCCCAACGCAAGGCATGCGCAGCAACTGCGGCTGTTGCCTTCGGAGCTCAGCTCTAAGTTTCCAGAGGAACTCGGAGAAGACAACTCTACCCTGAAGTGCCTTTTCAGAGATTTCACTTGCTGTAGGATGTAGGAGACGGACCATGCCACTTGCTGCTAACTTGCTGAATTGCGAGGTCTTCCTGCGTTCTCGATGTAGTGACTCCGGTCTGGGAACCTGGCATTTGCAGAGCCTCTTCACACTTTTTGTCTCGTGCTTGGCGCCCCAAGGCTACAAGCCACAGCTGCTCGAGGCAGCTCAGTGCGAAGAAGGCGGAGTGGCTCAGAGTCCACAGCGTCCCAAAGGAGCTTCTTTCCTTGTCGAGCATGTCGAGATGTTAACACCGATGTTCCCGACCGTTGAGGCCTGGAATGAGCAAGACTCGCCGGATGTCCCAGAGCATTTTTTCGAGGGCTTGGTGTTCGTGGCCTCTACTTTGAACCGAGGCTTATGTCCTTAATTCACTGCATCCAGTCAGTCTCTCGGTCCAGCCTTTGGAGGATTATGAGGCACTGCATGGCACCGCTTGATTGGGCTTTCGATCTCCAAGGTTTCACGTCCTCGAGTTGTTTTTTCGTGGCAAGAGGCTGATGTGAAGCTGAGAGGGTTGCGAGCCAACTGCCATTTATTTTGACGAGCTGTGGATCCACAGCAAAAAGCGGCGTCCTAATTGGTTTGTATCGTCATGCATCTTTTTACGTCCCACGTTGCGCTTTTTCGAGCAACTGGGTCGCATCGGAGCGGGAGGAGTTCGATGACACCTGAGAATGGATATGACCAACCATGATACAACATGATACAACAGACAACAGCCCCTTTTTCTAAAAACAAAAAAGGTGAAACCACAGACAGTCAGACAGTTCGCTCAAAAGAAAGTTCGAGCTCCGTTGGCAAGCCGAAGCGCTTGGCTGGCTTCAGTACAGCTTCTTTGTACCATTTACCACGTCGATTCCAAAAGACTCCTGGTGCAATTGTTTTTGCGTGCATTCGATGAGTTTGGCATCATCGGACGAGTGAGGAGAACAAAGCTTTATGGGTGTGCCTCTCCACACAATCACACGTGATGCGTCACCGGCGTGCTGAGAAACCCATCAGGTTCAATCTTCCATTGAACAAGCGGTGCTTGCTTCGGCATCGTTGAGGCGCAGCATCTGCCAAGTTCATTTGATCTCTGCTTACGATTCTGTTTTGACGGCCACGGCTTCGTGCGCCCCGTCAGAAAAAAAAATGAAACCTTGCGTTTGGGCGGCTTCGGGTTCGGCAGGACCTTGGAACTGACCACATCCCAGAAGCTGGCGTCACCGACTCAGCGCGCGTCGCGGAAAGCTGAAGAGGACGGACCATGGGTCGTAGCGACCCAAACGGTGTCTCTTTTTAATGTTTTAGTGTTTGTTTGTTTTTTTTCCCAATGTTTGTGTCTTTAAAGCACAGCACGAAAATGGTGGATGATTCGAACATTAGTAGGAGACGTTGACCATGTCAACCCGATGTGTTGATGGATTTCGGATTCGTGGCCGAAGCCTGAGGGATGGGACCGTGACCCAGCTGCTGGAGTGCGGGCCCTCAAGGTGGCCACCCTTTGACGGAAGGACGGAGGGGCCTGTCGCCTGTCAGGTCTTGACAGCTAGGTCTTGGCTGATTGATGTTGGATTTGAAACACCCTGAGCAGTCCTAGTTCTTCGTCATGGGCCAATTGATCCGCTTTTTTTCTGATCTGAGGAATTGTCCAAATCTATCATTTCTTGATGTGGGACATTGCACGGGCCTCATGGGACCCCTGGGCTGTTGCGTGCTGCGTACGGGGCGAACGGGCTTGTGATGCATGAGATCCACCGGAGGCTGTCAACTGGTGGAGCCAAAATTGACACATCCCATTCTGGAGACTGCTCCAATCTCAGCACGTTAGTTACAAAGACGTAGAAAGAGAGAAGGGGTCAACAAGTCAATGAGTTGTTCTAACTGCTGCTGCGAAAGCTAAGGGAGAATCTTGCAAGGAGTCAAGTAAGTGGAACATGTATGACCAGCCCTGACAGCTCTGACTGACAACAATGAGCATCTGGATCCACACCCATGCACCGTGACTGCGGTGAGCCGCTCGCCTCCGAGCCGGCCAGATCCTTCTGAGCTTCTGCGTGAACCTTCGAGAATCCGCAGTGGCTGGCCTCTTTGAGAACTGTCCAAAGTTGAGGCGGGCAGCGCAGCGGCGCTGCGCCAAATCCACACGTACCGCCGCAAAATCTTGTCACAGACCATGGCCGGACATGAACATTTTGTCCTTTGCCTCATGGCATTTTGTTGCTCCAAAAGAGAAAGGCAGCCTCCTGCCTGTTTTTAAGAGTCAGCAACGAATGAATTCTGTGCCTGGGTGTTCTGAGCCTTTGTTGACCTCATGGACAGTCGCGCATGCGACTACTTGTATGTGTTTCTGGGTGTCAATCTTGGTGAGGTCACAAGAGCTCGATACGATCAAAAGCTGCTTGAGAGTATCTATCACCTTGATGAAACATGTTGAAAACACCTGCATACCCAGTTGATGCCAGGTATGTCGAAATTGCAGTTTGCATGTTTGACATGACCAAGTTCCAGAGAACGTTCGGAGCCTCAGACCTCACTTTCAAAAACTGGCAGCAATGTGCATCACTGAGGTGCAGACCGGAATGTACAGTGGTCGTCAATTTCGATTTCTGAGGAAATCTTTAATTTCAATTATATATATTATATATTGATATTGTTGGGAATTTATGGACGATTTGCATTTTATATGAGCAGCATTAAAAACCTCTATGTAAGGGCTTTATCATGGTGTTGTTTGGCAAAACCTTCCCGAAAGGTAAAAGCTGCGGCGCGAAAGGTCTGACAAAGGTTCGCGAAAGTTGCGCTTTAGATGGAATTTGCGAACGGGTGTACGACAGGTTTTGTTTGAATGGGTTATGTTAGTTTTTGCTATTGCCGCTGTTAGCGACCCCAGAGGAAATCGCGATTTTATGGTGCTGTTAGGTTGATGCTTCCTCGTTGATGTGGGGTGGGATGGGGTGGGGTGGGGCATTTTATATGTTAACGTTCGCTTGCACTTGCGTCACGAAGTTGATTCTTCGTGGTAGATGTGGGGTGGGGTGGGGCATGTTAACGTTCGTTTGTATTTGCGTCACGAAGTTGATGCTTCGTGGTAGATGTGGGGTGGGGTGGGATGGGATGGGGTGGGGTGGGATGGGATGGGGTGGGGCATATTAACATTCGCTTGCATTTGCGTCACGATGCTTCCGTGGTAGATATGGGGTGGGGCATGTTAACGTTCGTTTGCATTTGCGTCACGAAGTTGATGCTTCGTGGTTGATGTGGGGTGACGTAAAATGCATTGATAAATATGTCCGTAGTTTTTAATTTCGGTGGAGCAATCGAGGAAATTGTTTGAGGCATTGGTCCGAATGTGGCCGTAAGTGTAAAGAAAATAATACACTTGCAAAACGCGTGTGCGCCAAAAGAGAGTGTATTTTCTGCTTTTTTTTTTTTTCAATTTAAATTTAATTTTGCAAGTGTTGATCCTTATGAAAAATGACATAAAAATGCATATGATCTAAATTTTCCCGAATGAAAAAATAAAAATGCAAGGTTTTGAACACTGTATTTTCCGAATATGCGAATTGTATAGGGTCATTATTACCGGCGGTATCTTTTTTAGCCTTGGCCTGGGCGGCGGGGTCTCGGTGTTTCGGTTATATTTAGGTAGGTCGTGTTTCGGTTATGTTTTGGCTTTGTTTCGATTATGTTTTGGCGGTGTTTTTGTTTTGGCTTATGTTTAGGTGGTGCTTCGGTCGTTTTTTGATGATATATTGGTATTATTTTGGTGGTGAGTATATTTCGATTTTTACGAAATTACTTTTAATTGTTTGAATTTAATTAGTGTTAGTTATAGAATGGGATTTTTTATACGTTATGATTTTGGGTTCGTTAAAGGCGAAATTTTAAATAATACGTGGTGGATATTTAATGGATTAATATTTTATAATGAATGATTTTTAAATTTATATTGGTATTATGAATTTTTATATTTAATTTTAGGTTTTTTAAATGAAAATTGGTTGATAGGTTTGAATTGGTTGAATGAACGAAATGAATTAAGGAAATGATTGGGGGGGGCGAGAAGAGGTATTTTTTGAAAATTTGAATTCGGAATTTGACGTTTTAAAGCGAGGGATAGGAAAATAATGAGATTACGAAAAATTGTTTGGTAAGGATTATTTTGAATTTGCTTTGCGAAGTATAGGGATTGGCTTGAGAGTTTATTCGGGACTAAAAATTGGTAGATTAATCTTCCCCCCCCCTTCTTATGTGATAAATAATTAATTCGAAACCCTTTCTCTCCCGATTCCCCTCTTTTTCCCCGTCGCTTCCCTTCGTCGCTATTATTATTACATTCTGGATATAAGGTGAAATTATGCGCTTAACAATTATAACAATACGACGTTGGCTATGAGGTCGCGCAATATAACACGAACCCTACGTAATGAGGTCGCGTAATGCAGCTTCGATGTCGCGCGTGCACACCTAGCAACCTAACACAGCGCGTATTCAAGACCATATTGTTGGACACTAACGAGCGTCGATGCAACGTAGCCTCTTTGCAAAGCCCTGTGGAGAAACCCCTCGCGTCGCGGAACACCATTCGATTTAGCCTTATACCTTAATGTGGCGAAATCTTACCGCATCGTGGAGTACGCCCACCATACCGTGACGTCCATCCCTGGCAATACCGGCCGCTTATAAGGGGATTGGTCACTGAATTATTGCGGTTTCTACGCAACGCGTATAGGCCTGTAATCCTGACACAGTGCGTGCAGCTGTGGGACTATAGCTGGTACACATACGAGCGTTTACGCCTTGCGACTTTTACACGCGCCTGTTTTCACACACCTAGACACAAACGAACGTCGACGCAACGCAGCCTCTCTGCAGAGCCGTGTGGCGCAATCTGACCGCAACGGAGTTCCTCTTGAGCCTTCTTATGCCTTCTTGTGCTCTCTGGCTTTGTTGGTTTTATCCATGATTGACCAAGGGGCACGTTCTTGAAACACCGGAAACAGTCCCTCACCCGAAAAGGTCCCGACAGCTACTCGGTCCGTTTTTACCTTTCGTGTTTCCCCGCTCAAATTTGCAGAAAGAATGATATAATGGATATTGAATAAAATATTATTAATACTATAAAGGTATTTGGAATTAATTCTATAATTTTGAATAGGATATAAATATTATATTTTTTTGATTATACGAAGAAGGATTAAATAATGCAGAATGAATATATTCTGGGAGTGATTTATATTAGCATATCGAATTGGATAAAATAGAAACTTAATTTTATAATATTGAATAGGATATAGGCATTATATATGTTTGATTATTCGAAGAAGGATTAAATAATGGAGCATGAATATATATGTTGGGAGCGAATTGTGTAAATATATCGAATTGGGTAAGGTAGAGATTTGGGAATAAGAATATTGTAATATTTTTAATTATGTTGTTTATAGGATTTTATATTAATATATGATATATTCGAATTATGTATATATTTTTTTTTGGATTTTAATTTATTGATATTAATTAATATATTTTTTTGCATTAATATTTAAATAGAATATTTATGAGGAATATTTTAGAAGGCATTTTATTAAGCAAATTGAGAATATAAGTAATTTTTACTTATTTATGTTGTGCGTCGATTTTCATTTATGTTACAATAATATTAATTTTACGAAAATTCCAATTATTTAGAAATGAATATTCTTTTTTGGATTGAATCTTATTTTTTATAGGGCTTCGTATTGATATATATACGATATCCGAATTACATTGAAAATATTTAAAAATAAATTTTTGGATATTCCTTTCTTGGTCTTTATTACCATTTCTTTTTCACGGATTTTTAGAAACATTATCAAATAGGGACACTTTAGAGAGCACCGCACGAAGAAAATCGAGAAAATCTAAAATATTTAACATTTTAATATTTCATATTATATTCCGATCTTGATTTATTCCGCATTAATATAAATTCCACGAAAACTATAAATATTCACTAATAAGTGCTCCACTATTTTTTCCTCCCAATCTTGTACTATTATATTGGTTTCTCGCTAGCTTTTGTTCTCTCCTTTTTAAAATTATAATTTTGAAATAATTGGATTCGTATTGTGTTATTGTTAATATTATTGTTGCATTAATATTATTAATATTTTGTTGTTTTAATTTTTTTTTTTAAATTAAATTCTATATATTTTATTTAATATATTAAAAACAATAAAATCTATTTTTTTCGTTTAGGTTCTTTCTTTTATAAATATATATTTATCTTTATATAATATATTTATATATAATCAATAAATAAAATAAATTCAATATTTGATAAATATAATTTTTAAAATTAATTGTTAGTATATATAATTAAATAAATTATTTGGATTTTTTATTTTATTTCGAAAATATATTCGATATTTTATATAGCATATTTTAGATTTATAGAATATCATTATTTAATTTTTTATCGAATTAAATTATTTCAATAATTATTTATATTTAATCATTTTTATTACTATATATTAATATATATTACTAAATATTGCATATAATTTATATTTTAATATATATTTACATAGATATTAAATGAATTTATTATCATTTAGAAGAAAATATATAATAATTATTAATATTTAATATATTTAATATTATTTTAATATAAATATATTTATATATATATTTATTCAACATATTTATACTTAAATATTTTTAATTATATATAATTTTTAATATTAAACACAAGAATATTATTTTGAATTAATATATATCAAATACCTTCATAAATTCCTTTATTCGAAGGGCCAATAACATAGACATCTGTTAAAATCACACTAAACATATGAGTTAGCGTCAAATATATATATTCTTGGAATATTTTCGTTTCATGTTTATCAATTCCCTATCGTTTTCCACAATTTTAAATTTTATAAATATATATATATATAAATATTTTTTTTAAATCAAAGAAAATAAAGAAAATAATCCAGAAATTTCATCATATAACATAAACACCCGTTCAATCCACAATATTTACGTCCTACATAATATACAAATACAATATACACATCAATCCTTTTTTTTGGTCACGGACACTACAATACGATATTTTAATGTATCCTTTCTCTATATATATATATAATTAGCCAATTCCTATTCGTATTTTGCCCAATAAACCAACACGAAAACATTCCAAATTCCATATCCAAAAAAGATCTTAAATATATATATCAATCATTAAAAACATTCCAAAATTCCAACTATAAGGTACGGGGCGCCAATATACCATATTTTTATGCCATTATATCGTATAATTAAATAAAAAACATTTCGCCTCCTACGAAAGTTGCTCACGCTCTATTCTTCTTTTTCCAC